CTTTTCTACAATCAATTAATGTTATTAACTAGTCAACCCTATTAACATAATCAACTAACAGCTATTTACCAAACATCCCCAAAGTGAGAAGGAAATTATATGAAAGGTTTTTCCAAGCTTTTTATGTAAGAAAAACAAATAAGGAAAATAAGACAAAATTTTATGATCATAGTTTACTTTCGTTCATTATTTTGCGAACTCATTTGATATGAATTAATAAAATATTCGCTCTTATTTCCTCTTCTTTTTTAAAGAGACTATAGTAAACATGGTAGAATTTCTCAAAAGATAACGTTTGATGGATTAAAATTAAAGCTTTACCAACATTGTAGACTTGTATAGTAGTAAAAGGCTTGGGGGACTTTTTATGTATTTATGTATGATTTAACTATTATTTTAGATTTTTAGTTGACACATCATTTAATATGCAGGTCCAATGTCATGTATGGCTCGTCAAAATGTGACAAATTATATCGTGCATCGCGATTCATAATTAATTATACATCGCGCATTAAAACAACGTCATTTTGTTTAATGAAAAAAACGACATCTATTTCCCGTCGTTCCGCACCCTTTCACAAAAAGGAACCCTGTTATTCAGTTTTATTTTATATACACTGTAGTTTCAGTTCAACACAACTACAGTTTCATTTCGATATTTATAGACTCAAATATATGAAAATGTTATTTAATTTTATTTTATATACACTATAGTTTTATTAAAACACAACTATATGATCATTTTGATATAATTACAGCTTCATTGTACAATATACACTCAAATATGTGAAATGTTACTCAGTTTCATTTTATATATACTGCAGTTTCATTTCACCACAACTACAGTATCATTTAGATATAACTGCAGTTTCATTTGATAATATGAAAATAATACTGAGGCAGTGTCGATTTAGATATAATGTAGTATCAGTTGGTAATTAACATACAAAAAAATGCGCACTCCGTTAACACTAACGGCGTGCCATTTCTTTAAATGTAAAGAAACGGCGCCATTTTGACCGAGGTGCTTGTGCACCGCGGTCCACGATATAACGACCCTCAAAATGCAACTAGCTTGCAAATCCTATATATAATAAAGCCATATGGTCTTGTGAAAATTAAATGGTGATAATCAACATTTAATTTTCACAAGACCATAATAATATTGTTATTGTAAAAATTAAATGTTGATAATCAACATTTAATTTTCACAAAACTATAATAATATTGTTAATTATAATAACAATAATAATAATTACAATAATAATAATAATGATAATAATTTTCACGGACAGTTTCTAATAAATAAATAAATAAATAAATATATATATATATATATATATATATATATATATATATATATATATATATATATATATTTATTTATTTATTTATTTATTTATTTACTTATTTATTTATTATATTTATTTATATTTCAATTTCTATTGGCAAATTATTGTGAGAAATGATGGTCCACATAATTGTATGGATCATGAATATCAAATACATTTTTAATATATTAAAAATACATTATTTTTATATTGAAAGTACCTTACATACATAGATAATGTACCCTTAGTATATTTAAAATATACTTTTTATTGCATGCAACCCCAAAGTTCATAAGTTTGAAATTAATATATGGCATAGCTAGGCGACCTAATATTTAAGATTGTTGATGTGCATATTGAGGACTACGGAGACAAAGATGCGTTGTTCATGAATTTATCGGATACTATCCAACAACACTCTCCAACTTAATTGACATGAAGTGGCTTAGTAACATTAAAATTATATTCTCGAATTATTAGTTCTCATCTTTTATTGATAACACGCTTAATTCGATAGTATTTGGAAGAAAAAATCAATGTTCGACCTAAGATTGTGATTTTGGTCTTTAAAGGTCAATTGTATGTTGCTACATCTAGAGTTAGAAATCTCAAAGGTCTAAAAATTTTGATCCGTGGTGAATCTAAAATTGTAATTCAATTACTATTGTAGTTTACTAAGTTCTTAAAAATTTGTAATATTAAATACTATGTACTAAATTTTTAATATAGTTTAAGATTTGTAGTAATCACCCACCTTAAATATTATTTTAATTGTAAATATATTTATGTTCATAATTTTATCATAGGAATTCACACATAATAATTATTAAATAACAAAAATGTTATATATGAATAAACCTCATATAGGGTATATTTTTATAACATATTTTCCGTGCATCGCACGGGACAAATACTAGTATATATATATATATATATATATATATAGAGAGAGAGAGAGGGGGGGGGGGGGGGGGGAAGGGTTCAGGTGCGGTTAAAGTTTCCTGTGCGATTATACGTTCGATGCACCTTAAGTATTAGCATCGCGCACCTTCAGTTTATAACAATGGCGCACATTAAGTGTTAGAACAACGTACCTTAAGTGTTAAAATGACCCACATTAAATTTTGTTCAAAAGTTTTGTTCTTGACGGTCTAAGCTAGGGGTCTGGTAGACCCCTCAGTTTAAAGGTTCTGTTCTTGAGGGTCTGAGCTAGGGGTCTGGGAGACCCGTGACTCAGACCCCTTAGTTCAAAAAGGAGAAGGGTGGCGGGCAAGGAATGCCCGTTACCCTTTATCGTCTTCTGTTCTATTCTAGATTTGAAGAAGAAACACGATGCAACTTAAGCACAAAAATCACGCACCTTAAGAAGGAAAACCACGCATCTTAAGTTTCAACAACGACTCACATTAAACACAAAACTCATGCACCTAGAGAACAAAACTCACGCACCTTAAATTTGACCTAGATGCAAAAATTACCAGATTGCCACAACGTTTTTTTTTTTTTTTTTTTTTTTAATTTTGGTAATCCTGGACGCTGATTTAAGCAAGATCAATGGCTCAGATTTAATCGCACAACTGCACCTGGGCGCACCAACCGCATTTGAATATATATATATATATATATATATATATATATATATATATATATATATATATATATAATAAATGTACAGTGGAACTACGATAAATTTCTTATTCCAAGCTAAGTTAGAGTGGAACTCATTTCATGTATCGTATATGTATATGCCATACATATACATACTAAATCTTTGCTATTTGCTAATATTTTTAATGCATTCTCTTATAATTTTTAAATTTAATTTTGTGTCAAACATAATTATAGAACATATACTACCTTGAAAAGAAATACGAGTATTTCAAAATAAAATTAATTTTGTGTCTAACATAGTTTTTGTGTAGTTTCTAAACATAAAAAGTATATTGTATACTACTCACATTCAAAAAAAATATTGTATACTACTCGGCTCAAAAATAAGAAGAAAAAATAAATATTTTTTTCAACATTCAATATTTTCACTACTATAAATTAAAACTAATTCAACTTTAATTAGGATCACACCCGTGGAGTTTGATTTTTACTTGTGGAAAACTTAATCCATACATGTTTAACATAGGCACACCTCCAACCTTATATTCGCATGAGTAATGCGCACTTACCAATTGTCCCAACCTACTATGTTTAGAATTTTTTTTAATGTTTTTGGATGCATGTTTTAGAGATAATACCATACAATACACGTGCGTATAAATAAATAAATACGCTCATAATTTGAAACAAATTTTAATTCTCACTGGCGCTGTAGTTGGGATATAGTCCATGATCTTCATTCCCCAAGTTGCTTGGGGAGCTCATTGCTAGATAATGTATTAATGTTGATAGCCTGTTCTTCCGATCCCCTACTTTTTGTTTTCTTTCATTACATTCAAATGCATGTATTACACATCAGGGTCTATTTGTGAATATTTTCCTATAAGTATAGCGAATTTATTGTATTAAGATAATTAGTTTTCTTTTCATATCAAAGATTTGGAGGATAGATATGTAAAGAAAGTCTTGATCGAGTTGACGATAGGCCTCCTACCTCATCAAAGTGCACCATTCTAAATTTGTTCAAATATGTGAAAAGGCAAGCATGTGAATAATTATATTTTATCAACCTAATTGTTTTCATTATTTTTTGTGCACTGATAAATTCTCCACAGGCCTCCATTGTTTTCGATTTTCAAAATAATCATTTGTTTTCGTTAGTTATATATGTATAATATGCCAGTTCAATGCAAGAATATTAATCAATATGGTCATTTCTTGATCATAGACGTAAAGTGCACTCTCAATGCACGCAAAACGCTCGCAGTATCATATCGAATTTATTGTATTAAGACAATTAGTTTTCTTCTCATATCAAAGATTTGGAGAATAGATATGCAAAGGAAGCCTGGATTGAGTTGACGATAGGCCTCCTACCTCATCAAAGTGCACCATTCAAAATTTGTTCAAATGTGTGAAAAGGCAGGCATGTGAATAATTATATTTTACCAACTTAATTGTTTAGAATTTTTTTTTTTGCGCACTGATAAATTCTCCATAGGCCTCCTGTTTTCGGTTCTTGCTACTAAAGAAGTCTCTGACAGACCAGATTCTACACCAGTGAAGATTTGAAAACTTACTGATTATATTCACCGACTTACCTTCAGAACCGGCGTAGAAGATTTCCATATTCATGCTTTTGGAAATCAAGGTTTAAGAAGTCAGAATTTCCTAAGATAAAATATTGAAAGTGATCTCTTTCTACAAGGTAACCCTAAAGGATTACTTGTCATCCAAGATTTGGAGATCTATTATTTATTAGAAGAAGGTTCCAGCATTGAGATTTTACACATGAAAGACTTCTTCTTCCATGTGTGACTGACCGTTTATTCTTCGAATCATCTTCTTCTCAATAACATCATGTTCATAGCTAAGCTGACTTATTGAGAAGACAAACCTCATTGTGCTGATCTGTGGAACGTACTCCATACAATTGTGGTGCAGTGGTGAATGAGTCAATGGGACGGACAGTGAAAACGTGGATCTCTAAACGAGGGACTCTTTGTACAGCTTATTGCTTGGATCTCCGCCTCAACAATCCTCTACAAGCTTCATCAGATTGGGTTTCTACTTTGTGAGGTATAACACACATTGGGTTTAGATTGCAATCTCTTTACCATCTGTATGATTGACTGGTTGAGATAGTGGATTGGACTCACTAATGGTGGTCGACGTAAATGTTGTTGCACACGTGTAGTAATTTGCACAAGTGTTTCCCTTTCCACCCAAAAATCATATATCTGTAGGAGAAAAATCTAGTCAAAACTCGCCTTTTCTACTAGATAAAAACTAATTCCTAGTTTTTTTTTTTTTCAAAATTTGATAAAAATCACTATGTGGTCTAATGGTACCTGGATTAGACTTCCATTTGGAAGATTATGAGTTTGAGCCTCAATTAGTTCTTTGTGTTTCAGTAGGTTGAGAAACAGATACTACAATCTAATAGAGCCAATAGCTTTCAAACAAGGATATCTTCATCCTAAAAATTTTACCAATTGCAAGATAATGTAGCATGCTTTTGTGTAAAATAATTTTTTTTATTTAATGCTCTTATTTTTATTGTTTACGTGTCTTGCAAGTTTTCTTTTTTATAAAGCTTGCAAAGGATAAGGAAATCTATACCGCTTTCTTGTGCTTTTTATTACTTTTTCTAATTTCACCTTATTATTATATTTATTTATTTATTTTATTGAAAGTGAACTATTTTTTAAAATGAAAGAGTATTACAAGAATGTAAAAAAAAAAATAATGAAAAAATTAAAAATTTGTTGATGTGGAAGTAGAGTCCGCTATTAAATGAGAGAGAGGATTGAAGAGATATATATATATATATATTTTTATTCATGTGGGAAATTGTTACGTTGTAGGGTAGGGTCAGCAAATCTGTGTGCTTTTCAACTTCAATCATCATCAACATTACCATAATAAAGATATATAGAAGTCCTGTGAATTCCATTGAGGCATTGAATCAGACATATTTAGGTCTACATCACCAGCCGTCCATCCATCAATCATCATTATCATTATATTTGGGTTAATGTTTCCAGTTGTCTACAAGGGAATTTTTTTTTTTTTTTTTTTAACAAAACAAAACCACTAATATTGTTTAGTCAAATCAATTATTTGTTATTTATTTATTTATTTTAGTATATTCTTATTATTTTTAAATTTCAAATTTTTATGTTTAATAATACTTTAATATAATTTTTAAATATATAAATTGTATATATTAATTAATATTAAACTTAATATTATGAAAATTTAAATTGTAGATAATTCAAATTAAACATCGTCAACCAAATCAAACACATAAAATAAGATTGAATGAGGTACTTCGACTTGTTCAACATATCATATTTAAATATAAATGTATAGTCTAGGTATCAACTTATACTTAGCGTGTAGTTGAGACGTAATAAATTATTTAATTTGTTATTAAAGTCGGACCCATGTGAAAGATTTCAACTATTATCTTAGGGGGTGTTTGGTTGGAAGTAAGGAATTAGGGGGAAAATGAATTGTAATTCGGTGGGGAAAGAATAAGGTGGGAATAAAGTAGGAATTCAAATTACAGTGTTTGGTATGCAGTTATAAGGCATGGAATTGAAAGGGAATAAGTAATACAATGCATGACTGAAATGCCCTTATGTACTAATAATAATAATAATAATAATAATAATAATAATAATAATAATAATAATAATAATTTTTGGAAATAATAATAATAATAATAATGATTATTATTTTTTGGAAGTAATAATAATAATAATAATAATAATAATAATAATAATAATAATGATGATGATTTTTTTGGAAGTAATAATAATAATAATAATAATAATAATAATAATAATAATAATAATAATAATAATAATAATAGAAGAAGAAGACAGCTAATAGGACAAAAGAAGAGTGAGGGTAAAATGATCATTAACCTATTTTTCTTTCTTCCTTCAATTCGCCAAATTGTAATTCATAGGAGAGGGGGTATGAATTACAATTCAGCATTTGAAGGGAATTGCAATTCGGTGGAATTGCAATTCCCTCCAACCAAACGACGTAATTGTAAGTTGTGCTGAATTACAATTCAACTACGACTTAATTACGTCTAACCAAACAGCCCGACTTTTAGATGAGATGAAATACATCATCTAGTTCTACTTTTATTTCATTTTTAATTTTCTATTTACATTGAATACCTTATTTCATTTTCAGTGCCATTCGCTTTTTGTTCTTCAATTTCTTCAATAAAATAAGACATTAAGACACATGAAATACATCATCTAGTTCTACTTTTATTTCATTTTTAATTTTCTATTTACATTGAATACCTTATTTCATTTTCAGTGCCATTCGTTTTTTGTTCTTCAATTTCTTCAATAAAATAAGACATTAAGACACATGGGTAAATGTTTTTAATTTTTTGGTAAAACAAAAATGATTATTATTATGGAGTAATAAGTGAAGTTTGGTACGTACTATACATTATGATTACGCACAGGAAAACTGCATCAATCTCCAAACAGATATTCTCTAGGCCTTGTCTCCCAAGACTTGTGACTTGTGAACCCTTTTTGGCTTTTTCCCCACTTTTTCTTGTGCTAGACCCTAGTCCCTAGGGGGCATTAGGGCATAGTTAGTTCTGTACATGCTTTATCTAACCATTTTTTTTTTTTTTTGAACATCTAACCATGTACTTATGCATGCCCCATTTATTAGGGTTGGAGTTCAACCATTTGGAAAAATGCATGCCCCATTTAATTCCCTTCACTAATTTAATTACCAATTCAAAATTTATTTTCATGTAAGTTGTGTAACATTATGCATGGATAAATTAATTGGGTGTTTTTGAAAATTAAGAAAATGACTTATGAAAAATATTTCTAGTGTTAGATTGCATTTTAAAAAACTGTTTTGATGCGTTTGGTTTATTTTTTGGAAAAATGAACAGAATTATATACTTAAACATTTTAATTACTCATTTTTTTAGAATAATAATAATAATAATAATAATAATAATAATAATAATAATAATAATAAATGGTGAAGGTGGTTGTAGTGGTAGTGATGGTGGTGTGGTGGTGGTGGTAGTCTGGTGGTGTTGGTGAAGGTGGTGGCAATGATAGTAGTAGTGATGGTAGTTTGGTGGTGGCGGTGGCGTTGGTGTGGTTACTATGGTGGTAGTGGTGGTGGCGTTGGTGTGGTTACTATGGTGGTAGTGGTGGTGGTGTGGTGTTGGTGGTGTGGTGTTGGTGTAGAAATTGGAAAATGACTTTCTAAAAAAGAGGGGTCTGGGAAGTCATTTTCCAAAAAAAATGGACAATATTTTCTTTTGACCAACCACTCATTTTCCTTTGACTCACATTTTTCACGCTTTACCAGAAATTAGAAAAATAATTTAGAGAAATTATTTTATGAGTTTCCAACCACACCTAAGTAATGTTTATTAACCAAGACTATGTGGTCTAATGGTATCCGGGTTGAACTTCCATTTGGAAGGTTATGAGTTCGAGCATCAGTGGAGGTGTTATTGGTTCCGAACAGACACTACAATGTAATAGGGCCAATAACATTCAAAAAAAAAATAATAATATAGTGTAATAAACACTATTAGAACTTTATATTTTGAAAAATTCTTCTTGCCCCTCCTAAATTTTAATTATTATTCAATGGATCATGATGTACACAATTGTGTAAATCATGAATAAAAGGTACATTATTTCAAAAGTACATTATTTTGTATACTATCAAATAATAAATACCAATTTTAGTCCCACGGGTATTAGCAAAATGACAGTTTTATTCCACATTTTTAATTCCTACCAATTTTCGTCCATGACTATTGTTTTAGTACCAATTTTCATCCACAATAATTGTTTTAGTGTCAAAATTTATCACGCTGATCAAGTGATCATCCCTTCGTTTAAGACATGCCGAAATATGAAATTATTAAGGATATTTTCGTCTTTTTAAAATTACGATCCCAATTTGAACATAAATAAAGAGATTTAAGCCCTAAGATCGATCCTAGTTCGCAAATCTCCTCCTCAAATTAACGTAGGATGAGGAGGAGAACTGCGAATTGAGATCGATCTTAGGGCTTAAACCATTTATTCATGCTCAAATTGGGATCTTAAGTTTAAAAGGACGAAAGTATCCTTAAATTTTAAGATTTCAGCATGTCTAAAACGGATGGGTTACCAACGTGACGAATTTTGGCACTAAAACAATAGTCGTGGATGAAATTTGGTTCTAAAATAATAGTTGTGGATGAAAATTGGTAGGAATTAAACATGTGGACTAAAATTGATATTTGCTCGTATTTTTTTAATACTATTAACTATATTACAAGGTAGTATATGTTCTATACTTCTTTATATTTTGAAAAATTCTTCTTGCCCCTCCTAAATTTTAATCATTATTCAATGGATCATGATGTACACAATTGTGTGAATTATAAATAAAAGGTACATTATTTTGTATACTATCAAATAATATGCATTTTTTTTAATACTATTAACTCTATTACAAGGTAGTATATGTTCTATACTTCTTTATATTTTGAAAAATTCTTCTTTTTTTGGGTAGGGTGAAAAATTTTCTTGCCCCTCCCAGATTTCAATCATTATTCAATGGATCATGATGTACACAATTGTGTGAATCATGAATAAAAGGTACATTATTTTGTATACTATCAAATAATATGCATTTTTTTAATACTATTAACTCTATTACAATGTAGTATCTGTTCTATACTTTCTCTAGCTATTGCAGCCTAAAGAGTCAATACTCCACCACCGGAGTTCGATCCTGTGACCTTCCCTCAGGGGAGCCACATAAGTGTCATTTGAGCACAAGGTGCTTGGCAAATAATATGCATTTAGTACACAAATAATGTACCTTTAGAATATTAAAAATGTACATTTTATTCATGGTCCACGGAAAACTTTGTCCTTGAATTTCCCATTCTAATTGACTTCCATTCATTGGGTGTCCATGAATTAGCTAACCCACCACACTTAAAAAAGAAAAAAAAAAAAAGTAACCAATTAACTAATGTCATATCATAAGGGATGGATTTGAGGGAGGAAATGAGAGGTGTATCTAGCATTACTTTTATATTTTATTAAGAGTTTATACCAGCTGGGATCACTTGACTATTGCGATTTACTTATCAAAGTCCTCTGTTTAATTTTTTTTTGTTTGATGTAACAAGGGACTAATTTAGGTAAGGTTTTAGTAGTTAGAGGACTAAATCGAGCAAAAAATTAAACAAAAAAAAGTTTACAAACGTTTACAAATAAATCGCAATAGTCAAGGGATCCCAATTGGTTTATACACATTATATATTGATTTCGATCATACAAATTGAGGTGTGTTTGGTTCATGGGTTTAGCTATCATGAATGGGAATCAAAGTCATTGTTACTCTTTGGTTGACAGGTTTCTAGAACACTACTATGTGATTTGATTACTCCATTAATTAGAAAACTCATTCCTTAATAAAATAAGGGTTTCATTCCATTATTCCACCTCCTAATTGGTAATTTGATTTTTAATTTTGGATTAGTTCTTTTTTATTTTTGTTTTTATTTTTTTTTTTGTTCATATTGGTGCTTTGGATGTCTTTATATTAGAATAAATTGTCTTGATTTTTTGTTCTTGTATTTTTAAACCGTTTATTCCCATTATATAGGATTATACATAACCAAACAACAATATTGGTATCATTCCAATTCCACCTACTACCAAACATGTAAAATATTTTTACCAAAACCCATTACCATTATCAAGTATTTGATTCTTATTCCAATTATAATTCCATGTGTGAACCAAACGCAGCCTGACTTATTTCATTACCAGTTAATTATATGTAAATACATGTCAAAAGGTAAAAGTTTTAGTGAAAAATTGTGGTCCATGTAACATTATCTAAAAGAAATTAATAAGGTGGTGTTTGAATCGTTGATAGTAAAAATCTTTTACATGCATCAAATTAGGGGTTCAATCCCTATAGAAAGCAATTTCTTGCGAAGGTTGTTTGATAATGTTGAAAAAGAAAAGTTTTTTTTTTTTTTTTTTTTTTTTTGAAAACGGACGATTAGTTCATTAAATCAGAATCAAGAACGGAAACAAGAAAAGATGGTAGGGTGTCAAACCACTCCCCGCAACCTGACACTGAAAAGGCTTCTCTAGCAACAGTGTGGGCAGCACAATTCGCAGATCGCTTAACAAAACGGAAATTAACATCGCCTATCTGAGATGCTAATTCCTTTACACCACTAATTAAAAAACCAAAAGCTGAATTAAACAAAACTGAATTTATGGCATTAAACACTACTTGCGAGTCCATCTCCAAATCCACACTCTCCATCCCCGTGCCCCGTAACCAGCTCAAGGCTTCACGAACACACAAGGCTTCAGCTTCTTTCACTTGATAACTCCCAACAACTAGCATATTCTTTGCGGCCAAGAAGTTCCCCCGTCATCATGCATAACCCACCCCAAACCCATCCAACTACCACCTTGACAAATAGAAGCATCAGTATTAATTTTTAACCTCCCAGCTTGAGGCCTCATCCACCGCCCCGTACCCTCCCCAACCACCGGCACAGTAAGAGTGTCATTCGCCATCCTCCAACTATCCAGAAAACTCAAAGCCCTCTGCACCATCAAAGGAGAATCAAATGCACATTCCCTCCATACATTATCATGCCTAGAAGTCCAAATACCCCAGCAAGCCAACACAAACTTTGGTAAAGAGTCAACATCTAACAAATTAACACACCAAAAAAACCAATCTGAAATATGGTTACCAGTGTAAGCTGAAAGCTGCAGCAAACCCAAATTGTTCCAAATTCTACGAGCCTCAACGCAATAAGCAAAGAGATGGATCGCAGACTCAGCTTCCACCCTGCACATATGACAGTCAAGAGCATAGGCAACCCGTTTAGCAGCTAAAGCATCCCGCGTTGGCAGAAAAGCAGATGCTAACTGCCAACAAAAACACTTGACCTTTGGTGGCACATGCAAGTTCCATATTTTAGACCACGGCTGAGCAATAGCCGTCTCCATAGTCATACGTTTATAACAAGACTTGACAGAATACGTACCCTTATGATCTCAATACCAAGTCCATTGATCTCGAGGCTTCCGGTTGCTCACTGGAATATTTAAAATCAAATTAGCATCTCGGGGGCAAAAAATATCATTCACACATTCCACATCCCAACACGTACCTTGGTCATTCAGGAGAGACGAAACCCGGGCTTCATACACAGACTGATGCAGCTCCGTTTGGACATAGGGGCACTCTTCATCAGGTAATCATGGATCCGAACCAATGAAAATATCAGTCCCAGCACCCACCACCTTCCTACAACCTTCTCTCAACACCCCCTGTACCGCTAACATTCCCTTCCAAATATACGAAGGATTAGCAGCCTCCGTTGCCTCAAAGAAATCACACCGAGGGAAATACCGGGCCTTGAACACCCGACTAACTAGAGACAGAGGCATTGTAACCAAACGCCAAACTTGTTTCCCAAGCAAAGCTTTGTTCATCTCGTGCAACCGGCGAAAACCCATTCCTCCACACGACTTGGGCGAACACAATCCTTCCCATGTACGCCACCGTATGCCCCGGCCTCTATTTACATTTCCAGTCCACCAGTACTGGTTCATGATTATCTCAATGTCACGACACAGACCCAAGGGAAACAGGAAAATCATCATTGCGTAAGTGGGCATAGCCTGGATCACGTTCTTAAGCAAAACCTCCCGACCCGCTCTGGATAGGGTTTTAGCATTCCATGATATGACTCTAGCCAGAATCTGGTCCTTTATAAAGCCCAGAATCTCCTTCTTCCGCCTACCTATTAAAGAAGGCAGGCCTAAGTACCTCCCGCTGGTCACCCCCTCCTCCACGCCAAGTATTTCCACCACCTCATTCCGCACATTCTGCTTCACATTAGCACTAAAACAAGCTGCTGACTTATCATAATTAATATATTGACCCGAAGCCTTAGAATAAGTGTCCAGGACATACCTCATATGTATACTTTCACTTACATTCGCGCGGTGGAACAAGAAACAGTCATCTGCAAACAGCAGATGAGAGATCGATGGCGCTCCCCGAGCAACTGACACACCATGCAAAACACCTCCCGCCATCCTCCTATCCAGCAAAGCACTCAACCCCTCCATTGCAAAAAGAAACAAGTAAGGGGATAAAGGATCCCCCTGCTGAAGGCCCCGGCCAGGAATAATGGGCCCTAGCTGGCGCTGCTCATGTAGTATACTATAACGAACAGAAGTGACTGTTTCCATTAGAATATCCACCCATCGCCTGGCAAATCCCATTTTCAACATTACAGCCTCCAAATAGAGCCACTCAACCCGATCATATGCCTTACACATGTCCAACTTCAGTGCTACTACCCCATCCCGGCCCTGTGTCTTACGTTTCAAATAGTGGTGGACCTCATAAGTCAACATAATATTGTCCGATATTAGCCTTCCCGAAACAAAAGCACTCTGCGCATTAGAAATTAACTTCTGCAACAAATTCTTAACCCTATTAGCACATACCTTAGCCGCAATCTTATAAACAACGTTACATAGTGCAATAAGACGGAGATCTTTCATTGTTTCTGGGCGTTGTTTCTTGGGGATCAACACGATAAACGTTTCAGTCGCTTTTTGAGGCAGCTTAGCCGTATCCAAAAACTGCTTACAAAACGACCACACCTCACCACCCACAACATCCCAGTAATACTGAAAGAACCCTGGGCCGAAGCCATCGGGTTCAGGGGACTTATCCGGATGCATCTGGAAAGCCGCAACTCTAACCTCCTCCATACTTAGCGGCCGCAATAAGCTTTTGTTATCATGGGCAGTCACCTTCTCTGTTATCACATCAATCACCTCATGCATCTCCCCATAGTCCGGAGTAAACAACTCCTTATAGTAGTCCACCATGAGATCATCCAACCCCCCGTCCTCCTCTACCCAATTCCCCTCATCATCCCGAAGCCTTGACACCTTATTCCAATGCCTCGGGCCTTGACCGAGTTGGTGGAAAAACTTACTGTTAATATCCCCACCTTTATACCAATGCTCCTTCGCCCGCTGTTTCCAATATGTGCTCTCTTGCACAAGCAAGACCAGTAGTTCCCTTTCTACCGTAGCATAGCTTTCAAAACTAGCCATGTCACTCCGTAATCTCAACCTCTCCAACTGTCGCTTACAATGCTCTATCCTGCGCACAAAATCCTTATTATACGTCCAGCCCCAACGTCCAACATCAACTGCACACATCTCTATCCTTGTTAGAGTATTTAGGCCCATTGACCGGTCCCAACTTTGAGTCACAATCTCCCTGCAAACGTCCTCCCTCAACCACATATTATCAAAGCAGAACCTTGACCGCCTTCTGATATTGGGAACCGCTATAGGCACTAACAACAAGGAAAGATGATCGCTATATGGAACAACCAAAGACTGCGCTTTTACCCCCTCAAACAGATTGAGCCAATCATTAGACACTAGAATACGGTCCAGCTTCTCCTCCACCATACGTGGTGTACCACGAGATTTCACCCATGTAAACTGGCACCCACTAAACGGCACATCCTACAAACCACAATCATCAACCGCTGCTATGAACCCATTAATCATCCACATAGGGTGTGGCACCCGGCCCCATTTTTCAGACTGATCCATGAGATCATTAAAGTCTCCCATGACCACCCAAGGCAATGAGCTACGCGATGAGAGAGCACGTAACAACTGCCAAATCTCCCTACGTCGTTGTGTTTCTGGGTAACCATAAAATCCCGTTAGACTCCACACCGGCCTCCCCACATCTAGTATTATTTCAGCATCTATATGGTTCGAAGAGAAACCAGTGATAGTGAGCTCCACTGGGCTCGACCATAAAATAGCCAGACCCCCCCCCCCCCCCCCCCCCCCCCTATGCTCATCTGCCTCCACCGTAAACACATTATCATACCGGCACTGGACTCGCACATCCTCCATACGCTGTTTATTCACAAAAGTCTCCGAAAGAAAAAGTACACTCGGCCTCTTCGTACGGACTAAATCCGTCAGCACACGAATTGCCGTCGGGTTGCCAAGCCCCCGGCAATTCCAGGAAATCAGACTCATAATCCTTGGCGAGCCTGCACCGCAAGACCCGCCTCCAATCCGTTTTTTTTTTAAACAGTATAATCGCACTCCATGCCGAAATGCATAACAGCGTCATCTTCCTCCACCCTCCTCCGCTTCTGTTCACCCACCATAACAGTTTCCACACCGCCCTGCTCCAGCACATTCCCCACTGCCCGAGCCCCATCAGGGCCCTGAACACCACCCATAGCCGGCGACCTCCACATTTTTCGTCCAGCAGAAGCTTGGGGAGGTATCCAGCACTGATTCTGGTTCGGCATGTTCCTCCTCGACCCCGCCCTAAGCCATGCCCCATACGGCTTATCTATGTCCGTTAACTTCCGGCCAAGAGCTAAGCGACAGAACTTATCACCATGCCCTATTAACCCACACAAGAAACAAAAAGTAGGCAAGCATTCATAACGAAAATCAATGAAAAACCAACCTCCATTATCCTTTTTCAGCTTCATCTGCTTCTTTAGGGGCTTCGAAACATCCAGTGAAACTCGGACTCGGTAATATGTCCGCAGGGAACCATCAAAATTCCAGTGGTCTGACATAACAAAGTTACCCAAGAACGTCCCTATAACCCTAACCACAGCATCCGACCGAAAACCCGGAGGCAGCGAATGCAACTGGACCCAAAACTCAGCATGAGTCAGGGGTACCACTCCATAGTCCTCCCCAGCCGGCACCTTCTTCATCAACAATAGACTTTGATCATACGCCCACGGACCCTCATTCAGAACGCGATCCAGGTCCCTTTCATGGTAGAAACGAAAAAGAAACTTGCGAGGCTCAAGCTCCTGCATGTTTACCCCCATTGCCGGCTGCCACACGCCGGCCATGGTGTCCTGGAAAAAGGAAAACAGCACTGGCCTGTTGGTAAGAAGCCTGCCCACCGCGTAATAACCCTCCCCCTCCTCCTGGTCAGCTGGCGGTTCCGCAACTTGCATGGAGAACCCCTCATCGCCCACATCAGCCAAAGTCAGATTTGCACACTGTTCCGAGATGTCCTCGGCCGACATGGCTGCCGTCCGTCGTCAAAAGATACGCCGCGTCGCCGTAAAAACCTTAAAACAGCAAAACCCTAATCGCAGTGCTCGCGAAAGTAGCGAGAGAAAAACAGTTATACAAAAGAAAAGTGTTTTAACCCCACAATTCGAGTTAATACCCAATATAGTCCTCGACTATATTAGTTTTACTCAATTTAGTCTTAAATGATTTTTTGTGCTCAGTTTAGTTCTCGACTTTGATGATTTTACACAACTTAGTCCTTTGTTTAAAATTCTGTTAGTTGGCGTTTAGAAATAGGATCCTAATGGTAATTTATCATCCTTATCCCATTTGGAATGATTCCTTCATCTCGCTCCATGCAGAAATGGAGATCTTCATCCCCAAATCAACTTCAACCCTTTTTTTTCGAAAGCAATCAACTTCAACCCTAAATAAATAAATATTTGCCTACAATATTTTTGTTTTAAATTTAGGATTGAAGTTGATTTGGGTACGAAGATTTGCATTTCTCCGTGGATCTTAATAAGGGGAAGAAGGAATCATCCCAAATGGGATGAAGGATGAGAAATTACCATTAGGACCCCATTTCTAACCGTCAATTAACAGAATTTTTAACAAATGACTAAATTGTGTAAAACCATCAAAGTCAAGGACTAAATTGAATACAAAAAGTCATTTAGGACTAAATTGAGTAAAACCACTATAGTCGAGGACTATATTGGGTATTAACTCCCCACAATTCATTTTGCGTTTTAGTCTTTATTTTTATATCTTTCGATTGTTGTAAAATATATCACCTTGTGCTCAGATGGTATGTAGTAACCCATGGGAGGTCATGAGATTGAGCCTAAGTGGAAGCGTCGTTGGCTCTATGTCCTCCTAAAGTATGT